CTGGCAACTCCCTGACCAAGTGATAACACAAGAAGACAGCTCTGCCTTACTGATGCTATATATTTCATCAACATCACCCACTACTCCTGAAGGAGATAAGCATGATAATCTTCTTGTTCTTTTGATGAGTCTGTGAGCAAAATTTGTGATGTTATTGCTTTTAAAATATCTTTCCACTAAACATTCATTTTATAGAGCACTGCCTGTAACAGTCATAAGCAGAGGTGCTGTCAAGCCTGGCGCCAGTTGTGCAACCACTTTGACATCTGAAAGTTTCCTAACAGGAATGTTTCCTTCTCCCTTTTCTAGGAGCAGAGCACAGTTCTGAAGGTGTGGGCAGGAGGAGTGTTCCTTCTAACTGACAGCTGCTCTTTGTCTAAGGAAATGAATATGATGCACTGTAAGGATTATTTTGACAAGCTACTTCTTATAAGTAAAACACCCAGACTAACAGACCAGGTACTCCAGGTTTTTTGCATGGCTTTTGAAAGGAAGAAATATGCCAATAACTGAAATCAGTACTGTAAAATGAGAGTCTTCCTGAGTGAAAGATTCTGATTTTCTTGATTCTGACCTAAAGCAGAAGGTTGAAATGTTCCAAACCCTAATTCCCTCTGCTTGAGACCATGACCAAATATATTGAAGCTTCAGGCCTACCTGAGTGCTGCTATTAGATTCAGTCTCACTTGCAAGCTGCCTGAAGACCATATAGAATCATAGAATAACTTAGGCTGGAAAAGATGTTTAACATCCTGCAGTCCAACTGTTAGCATAATGTGTCCAAGTCCATGTCTAAACCACATCCTTAAGGGTCGGGTCTACATGTCTTAAATACCTCCAGGGATGGTGACTCAACCACTTCGCTGGCTGTCTGTTCCAGTGCTTGACATCCCTTCCAGTGAAATTTTTTCCTAATATCTAATCTAAACCTGCCCTGGAGCAACCTGAAGCCATTTCCTCTTGTCCTGTTACTTGGGAGAAGAATCCAATGCTCACCTTGCTACAACCTCCTCGTAAGCAGTTGCAGAGAGTGACAAGGTCCTTCCTGAGCCTCCTTTCCTTCAGGCTAAACAACCTCAGCTCCCTCAGCTGCTCCTCATCTGACTTATGCTCCAGACCCCTCACTACCCCTGTTGCCCTTCTCTGGACCTGCTCCAGAAACCTAATGTCCTTTTCGTGGTGAGGGGCCCGAAACTCAAGGTTTGGCCATACCAGAACCCAGTACAAGGAGGCAGTAGCTGCCCTGGTCCTCCTGGCCACTTTGTTTCTGATAAAAGCCAGGAAGCCTTTGGCCTTCTTTGGCCACCAGGGCATGCTGCCAATCATACATATATAAGTGCCCAGATAAAGTGTGTGACTAGTTAGAACATTGCTAATGGACATTTATTACCCACTCCATAGACATGCTGGCTGCTTTTCTTTGCTGCACTGTGTACAAGTGCTTTCAAAAAAAAAAAAAAATGGGTGAAGGAATAACATTTCTAACTTAGGTAAATATCTGAAGTATTTGTCAGAGTGATGTAAGATGGTAGTCACTGGAGAGAGCTGGGCCCTTCCAAAGAGCAGTTCACCCCTTTTAGCCTGTTTCTTTTCATTAACTAGGAATGGTGATTCAGCTGTAATTACAAACTCATACTCAATACTTACCTTTATGTTCCCATATCTTTGTAGGAAAAGCCCACAGCTGTAATTTAAAAAGAGTAGTAACAGTGAGTGTCACTAAAGAAAAAAACACTGGAGATGTCTTGAGGTCTTTTCTTTTGCTTTAGGACCATGATAAATTGCATTGCCTGGAGGCTGTTAACCCATGCACACAATCCCATGCTTGACTGGTGGTGTCAAGCATGTGATTGTGTGTCCAACTTTAGAGCCTCTAATATGGGACCACTCTGCCTCCTATGAGTCAGTGATATCTTCTGGTCTGAGCTGAAGATGAAAGTGTATTCTGGGTGCTGTGACTAGGTATTCCTTTGGTGGTGATTGGGGTCACCCCAGTAGCATCGTTTGAGGAGAAGGTGCCTTTGAGTAATTCAGTGCCTGGGAGTTGTCTTCTGAGCACTAACACAAAGCAGCTTGTTCATTTGCTGTTTTCACTTGTGTCAAATGACCTCAGATTGTGCTGATGTGCTTAAGGAATAACCTGAAAAAATTTATGCAATTGCTTTGTAAATAAGGCCTAAATTTGCAATGTGAATATTTTTTTATAGTCATATTGAATAATGCATTAGAACAAAACTTTAACTGTGCAACTCCTGTGCAGCAGACACTAGAAAGTAATTTTATTTGTTATCGTCTCACAAGAAAGATGTTTCCTGTGGAATTTTCTGTTATCAAAGCAGGAAATGCAGCTTAATGCCCCTGTTCTTCATTTTACCCAAATGCTTTATAATGAAAAGTGCATGAAGATTTAATTTCTTAAGGATACAATTTGCTGTCACTTCTGGTTTTGTCAGAATCTAGGTCAAAAAGGATTATTATTAAGTTTCGGGATGGCTTGTTTGGGTCATGTAAATGAAGTCTGATATCTAGAGATGGTGCCCAACAGCTTTGCTTTAGCAGGTTGTGAAGAACAAAGCACAAGTATTTTTAGAAATGAGGTTGGACCCTGTGACTGCTTTAGTGTATCAGAGCTCAGACCAAGATATCTCTGTCTCTTTACCATGGCAGTTTCCTCTCAGAAGCTACTGGTCTTGGGAGGCTTGTGAGCCAGAATCTGAAGGCTATTTTCCCCTTTGTTTTGTATTAAATATTTGATGTCAGATATTGTGGATGGATGGAATGTAGGAAAACAGAGATAGTGATGAAGGTAATCTCACCCCTAAGGAGTTACAGCTGAATTAAGAACAAGCTTGCCCTTAATAGGCCGCAGCTGGAACCAATTAGGTTGGGTATTGTAAAAGAGTAGGTTGGCTGGTCGAGAAGTTAGATGGAGTTTGTTGGCTGTGCTGTGAAGAAGGAGCCAGTGCAGTGAGGAGCTGCCCATAAGAAATCACTGTGAAGGTATGGAGCTTTTGCAAAAAGATGATGACAAAATATCTGTAGAAGCCCTGTGTGAATTTGGAGAAATGATTATCAGTCTCTGTTTTCTGTGAGAGATAAATGATTCTGAGCTTGTGTCGAAACTGGTCTGGGATCTTGGTGGCGAATGGGCATCTCCAGCTCTTGCAGCTGCCTCTCAAGAGGCTGCAAAGCCTGTGCTGGTTCTGCTGCAAGCTCTCTGCTCCTCTGCACCCTGTTGCAATTTATGTGGCCCAGTCCAAGGTCTGTGTGGCTCCAGACCTCCTATCACCACTGCTGGGCTGCTGTTGTTGTGATGGCATTGGTGCAATACCACCTTGTCTTCTGGCCTGTGGCTTCCTGACTGTGACTCACCTGCACCGTGGTTTGTGATGCACAGTGTCAAGTTATCAAGTAATTTAATGTTATTGCTGGGCTACATCTGCTTTTGGGTGGGGGAGTTGTTTAGTTGGGCTTCTTTCTCTTATTATGTGCAGAGTAAGCAGGGGCAGTGTAATGACATAGCAGCTTCAGCAGTTAATATTGCTAAATTTCATTTATGAAATCCACAAGAGGCCCAAATGTGGACCTTCTGGAAATGGTGGAAGTTAAGTGGGATGGATGTTATCTAAGTGGATGGCTATCTTTTGTCCCTCAAGAGTGAGGAGAATCCACTGTCATCAAAAAACAAAATTACTTCAGAGCTGAAGTTCAGTGATGGAATGGCTGTTGGGTTCATCCTCTTGTAACCTGTGAGCTGAATCTCTTGTTTCAATTTAGAGCATTACTGCAGAAGTGTTATTGTATAAAAAAGTGAAGTAATTCTCTACTGTAATACCTGTTCCACAATAAAACAAAACAACCCAACAAAAAAACTTCAGGTGGGAAGTCATCTGGCTTTTTTTGCGTACAGCTTAAAGCAGAAACATTCATGCATTGAATGCTCGAATCTATTAAAAGGCAAAACGAATTATGATAATAATTTGAAACTTTATCTAAGATAGGTCTCATCTAAGGTAGCTCTTTATAGGACAATTGGAATACTCAAATACTTTCATTAGAAAGGGTTGAAAAATAAGACTTTTATTTTTTCCTAATATGTTCTAGGTTTTCATTCTGACTTAGAATTTTGAAAATTCTAAAAAATGAGTTTTTAAAAAAACTTATTTCATTTGCAATTTATTGAATAACTATTGAATAACACCTATTTTTAGTGATTTTAATAATGTTTAATGCAATAGTTGGCTACTGTGCTATTTTTGTAATAGTACTAGGTCCTTTTGGTTTTATATGTTGCCTGTCCTTACAGAAGAATAATGGTAAATTATTACAAAATTAAAAAGAGAGCAGACTTGACAATTTTAACTGGGATTTTAAAAACTTTTGAGAAAATGGTGTGTAATTATTTTTATTAAAGCTTATGAGAGTCTAACATCATTTAATTGAAAGCAGCACTTTAGCTAAAAAACATTTCCATATCAAAAGCTCCTGCTGGCTCTGCTGACCTCTTAACATCCTCTATGCAATGAAATAAGAGAGAAGAAAAGCTACAAGGTGTTTTCTTTAACTATTTGCCAGTGCCTGTGAGATCCAGCCTCTACTTCATGACTGTAATTTGCAGTGAACTTGGTGAAAATCCCTGCTGTTGTGCATCTGACTGGAGAAGCTGATGGGGGCTGGAACCACCCCAGGAGATTCCTCTGTGTGCAGTTATTCAGACCTTATGGTGGTGGATAATGACTCTGGAATTACCCTGTGATAAAATGGTTGACCCATCTCCTTTTTTCCCCTGCTGTGGTGTTAAAAAAAGAGAAAATGTAAGTCTTCATGTGGCAGAGAACAAGTGCATCATTTGTGCTTTTGAAATCAGTGGGAGGAGGAGCTGTGAGTCAATCTATGCAGCTCTTCTTCTTGGCCACAGCTGTGGTCCAGGAGCACCTACCAGCTGGGAGACACACAGACTGGAGCCTTACAGCAGTGCCTTTTATGAAACAAAAATACTGATGGGATCAGCCTATTCACCTTTGGTAAGAGAAAATTACTGATGGGGCAGAAGAATCTTTTTGGTGGTCTTGGTTGAGATTGATCAAAAGCAAATGCTTGGAGAATTTTGATCCTTAAAGGTTAAATGCGTTTACAGTAGGCAGATAAAAGCAGCAGGTAGATGGTCCTGGTGAGATGGATATATCCCATCATGAAGGGGAGAAATGCAAGGGTCTCTGAGCAGAAACTGAAAATTACTGACTGCTGGGTTTCACTGGCCGTTCTTTTGGCTCTTTGTCTCCAGGATCGGTTCGTCCGCGCAAATCCGCACAGGAAGATTGGAATCAGCAGGAGGAAACATGAAAGGCCATGCAGTGCTGAAAATGAGGTACTGTATGGAAGGAGCTTCTGGGTTGCAAGGAGAGAGCTGCAGGGCATGAAGGATGGCTGTGATACCTGCCAGCCTTTCCAGTCTCTCCCCAAGCTTAACTGTTTTTGTGAGAGGTGACTTTTATTAACAGATAGTTAAGGGAATATTTGCTTCTTTGTGAGTGTGCTGTCTAGAGTGCAAAGCATTCACTGTGACTTAGGGGTTGGAAGATGATGAGGTTGTGGTTTAAATGCTAGGCAAGGAACTGGGAGAGCTGGATTTTAGTCTTGGTTTGCTGTGGTATGATTATATGATGGTAGTCATACCTCATAACACCCAAGGCTTAGTCCTTAAATTGTTCTTCCTTTACTTTATGAGGCAGATGAGCAAATAAAATGGTATACTCCCATGTCTGACACTTTTGTGAATGCTGATTTTTATGAAGATGAATTCATTTTGGAAAGTACTGAATATAGTACATACTGGAGAAGTTACAAATTATTCTGTTTTATGACTAATAGTTAGTTGAAAATATATTTAATAACTTGAAAAATGAAAATAGTATGATATGTTTTTCTGCCCCTGAGTTTTCTCCATCTGTTCCTTAGCTGCATTCAGTACAAAAGAATGAAGATAACTCTTTCTTAGATCTGGGAGAGAGCCAATTCACTAACTGCTAGCACTATGGAATAATAACTAGGTTTGTGTCAGTATAGTTGCTTAGTGTTTAAGCCATCTCATGAATAAGTTTTCTCCAAACTAATGGATATGGATGGTACTAAAGGTGAGGATGAAAAATTAATCCTCTGTATTTGGATGAAATGTTGAGCTTTCAGCAATGTGGATCATGTATTTCTTTCATCCTTCATCCCCAGAAGCACTGCTGCCAAAAATTATGCTGAGGTTGATGGGCTTCTTTCAGATGTTCTGGTTTTGTTCAAATGACACTTTGAGAGACAAGTGTTGAGTTGAGAATTGTTCCAGTAGGCTGTAAATAACAATTGGCTTGGTGGCTTATTGCTATCTAGATCTTTAGTCTGCTTCTGTCAGGGCAGGGTGTATCAAAATAAGAGGTACACAAGGAGGTCCTAAGCAGACAGTTTCTTAGAAATCATGATTCTTTGGAGATTTAAGTGCTGCTTTTAATTTAATTAATGGAGCCATTGCTTCTGCGTGTAGTATTTTACTCTTGACATTCTTCAACACTGTCTTGTTTTCCCAGTAACTGAGTGTAGGGTTGTGTGTAGCTGTGATAGGGAGTGGAGGGAGAACAGGAAAAAATGGAGAGAGTTGTGGATTCTTCAAGAGCCTTCTTCCCTATAGAACCCTACCTACGCTACAGGTTGTCAATATTGTATGCCTCAGGGCTTCTCCTTGGTAGATCGATCAGGTCAGCCTAGGCTTGTCCTGATTAGGCCAAGACATTCTGAATTGTCTGATTGCTCTTCTGTGCCTTTTTTTGGTGTGTATGTGCATTTACTACATACAATTATAGCTTTTTGTTGCTTATTTGTGTTTAATTACATACTCTGATATAATGCCTATTTTACTTTGTGTTCTCAGCTTTCCATTTTCTTACATTGCTTAGAGCTTTGGGGATTCCTGCTTTCTTTAATTTTGGTTCTTTAAAAGCCCCCTGGTTTATATTCATGTATCAATTCTGCTTGTTGTATTAATGAGGTTTCATTTTGATTAATGTAGACCCTGGCTGTGAATGACAGGCTATCTTTACTCAATGTCAAATTGCAAGAAAATATTTCTTCTCAGAAAATGTCTGAAATAGTTAAAATCAAATTCACTGCATTATAATGATATATTGGCCTTTCTGGTGTTAAAGCATAAGTGATGTTATTTATATCTGATTTAATTGCTCATAATTAAGGTATCTTTCTCATTGTTTTGCAGCCAGAAGTGCCTCAGTTGTGCTGGCTTTCTGTAAAAATTATTGGCATGAAAAATCTCCGCAAAGCAGATCTGTGTAAGTATCACTGATGGCACTTGACAACTTAGCAAGAAAACTACTGTCACCTGATTTTAATGCTCTTGCACACCTGTTGCTTGGATTACAGTAATGTTTCAGGGGGGTTTGGGTGAAGAAGTTGTATTTACTTTCATTTTCATTTAAATTCAAAGTAATTTAGAAAACACTTGAAACCAGAAAGGAAATAGACTAGAAATTGTGTTGAAGAAGTTGTTCTTCCCTTTATCAGCTACTCTGTGGTATTTCCCTTTCTTTTAATTCTTCAGTGCCCCTTTTTCCAGGTTGCCCAATTCCCTTTGGGAAAGAACATCTTTGTGAAAGACAGGAAAAATCAAACCAGTTGCTTTGGATGTTGCTGTGTTTGTGGCTTCACTGTGCCATCAGTGTTGGATGACTTTTGCACTACAAATAAATGAAAATCTCCCAAACTAAAATTTCCATTTAATTTTAAAAAATGCCATTTGAAGAAGTGAAGTTGTATATGAGGTTTTTTTGAAAATGGCAAGTATTTGAAAACAGGAGTTAATCACAAGAGCCAGAGTACTTAGTTCAGCACTGTTGAAATAAAATACTTTGGCTCTTGTTATCATATAGAATTAGTGGTTTAAAATGTACTTTTTTGGAACTGATATAAAACAAAATAGAAAAGTTAAATAACTCTAAACCTGGAATATTTTCTTTGGGTCTAATGAAATATCTAGGACTCCTCAGAGGTTAATCTTTTCTTTCCCTGGCTGGGCTAATCAAATAATAACAGAGTACTGCTGTACTAATTGTGCAACTTGTTGTTAACACAGGGAGTCGAACTGATTGCTATGTCAAGTTGTGGCTGCCAACAGCTTCATGTCAGGAAGCCCAGACAAGAACTGTACACAACTGCAGAAATCCTGTCTGGAATGAAACTTTCCACTTTGTGATACAGAGTGAAGTAAAGGTGGGACCTGTGTCTATGAGCGGGTGCTTTCTAAAGGGGGCAACTTCACCTCCTGTGGGCAGACTCTTTTGAAAGGCTTGAGACTCACATGGATCTAGAACTCAGTTAACCTGATTGAAAGAAGTAGTTTAAGCTCAGAAGGTTGTGGAGTATCTGGAATAATGCTGAATGCGTCTTTGTATCCCAGAACAGTTGTAAAAAACTGTTGAAATGTTCATTGAGTTAGCAGAAATAGGTGTGCAGTCAGAAAGTGATACAAAGTCCAAACTGGATCAGTTTCTCATAGTTTACTAGTGCTGCATCTTCTCATGGTAACCTGAGCCCTGAGGAACTGCCAGGGGACCTGTTCAGAGCTTGGTACTGTGCTTTAACTTTAATTTTAAAGGGCTAACAATTTCCCCTTTATTATTGCTTTCTGACAAAATACCAAGATTTCTCAAGGTAGTGATTTTGAATCCACAAATTATTTGAGGAATAGTGTGTGTAACCTCTGCTCTATCTGGTGCATGTTACCATCATTAATATAATTTATGTTTCCTCTTCTTTTGGAGCTCTCTTTGGTTGCCAGATCTGATGGTTTACTTCTTCTAGGGTTGGTCCCTGACTCTGCTGTCTGAGCCTCATGGTCTGTGAGCTGAGCTCTGTGCTGTCCCAGGAGTCTGTCCACATGGACGTGAGGGCTGAATGCTGCCTCTTGCTGGACCTTCCTTTTGGGCTTAGTAGACCCAGAATATGTGATTTACATCCTTCTCTGCCTCTTTCCTCAGAACATCCTGGAGCTGGCAGTCTGTGATGAGGACACTTTTACACCAGATGACCATCTTATGACTGTCCGCTTTGATGTGGCTAAAATCCAGCCTGGAGAAAAAGTTTGCCTGAGTTTTGAGTTGAATCCAGAGGTGAGGGTGAGGGGCTAGAGAAAATAATACTCTTGATTAGAATTTTGTCTCAAGTTGCTACCTCTATTGAATATTAAATTGGTTCTCACACACAAAGACTTTGTTAAAAAGGATGTTACTAAAAAAAGCTGAATGCTTGGGTTTTAGGAGAGGGGTCGTGAACACCCCCTGTTGTGAGTAGAATAAGATGCAAAATACTTTTCTGTATTCCCTTTTTTTTAAATTTCAAAACTATATATTTTAAAATCAGTGAGAAAAAGAATCAAAAATAAAGAAGCTGATGGTTAGGAGGAGGTCTCATTTCTGTTGTAGGAGATTGACAGAGCAGAGTTAGGAACAAACCTGTCCCCGTTTCCAGGCAGTTGCTCTTACCCTTTGGCCAGTAGCTCAATAGGGCTGTCTCCTCTCAGCTTCACTGGGGATTTTGGCCATTTCTTTCAGATAATGTGCTCTCTAAATGAAGCATTTAATTCTTGTGATAATCTCTTTGATTTTTTTTCCTCCTCTACTCAAGAACTTTAAGAAAAAATCTCAGCAAGTCTGCTTATGCTCCTTTGCTACAAATTTATTTTAGAGGGGCTGAGCCAGCACAGAAGAGGCAGGCCTTCATGAATGAGAATATCATCAGTATTTTATTTTTTCTTCTTAGTGAGTGTATGATGTAAGAGTTTTATTTGCTGCATGTGTCTCAAAAATACTGTGTTTAGTTGTATAAACAACAAAAATAAAGATAAAGAGTATCATATGAAACACTGAGTGGATGAAGTTGCAGAGAGGAGGGGTGGAGAAATGACACAACTTCAAAGAGAGCAGAATATATACTCAGAATATAAACACCTTCTGCTCAATGTAACGCCTTCTCTGGAGGGTGTAGTAACAACTTCAGGGCTTTTTCACACTTCACCAAGGGCTTCAGTTTATGGTTCCCAGGAATGGTGTGCTCCGTTTATTTGTAAATCACTGTGTCAGTCAGGTTCTTTGGAAAACACTCTTGCCTGTTTTTTATATTACTATTGCTTTGTAGAGGTTTATTAACTACTCTTTCAGAAGACCAATCCTTACTGAGGAGTGCTTACTAAACCTGTTCCAGCTGGCTACAGCCTTCCTCAGAAAAGCCCTCACGTGACTGCGATAATGCCAGGTGTGATTCAAGCCCTGAATTTGCTCTGGGGCAAAGCTGAGCCAGCCCATTAGCTAACTCATGCCCATGTGCAGAGCTGTCTTAGCCCATGAGCAAGGTGGAAGTGGTGGGGGTCAGACCAGGTGAGCTGTCTCAGGAACATCCTGGTCAAGCTGCCCTTCTTCAGTTTGTGATGAATCAGGCACCCCTGAGGCATCACAGATTATGGTCTGTATATGAATTTTTAGAAGACTTTGGGTTATTTAATTTTTTGATAGTGTCTTAGTAATGCAACAGGCTGGGCAATCTTAATAACAGGCTCTAGTGCCACCTCTGCCCATAACAATTCCTTTAATCTACCAAGGTATCTCAGAAGGAGGGCTGAAGAGGTCAGATGGGTAATGCCAGAGCAGCAGGGTTGCTTTGCTGTGCCTCTTGCTCTCTGTGGCCTAACAAGTATTTCCATTGCTGGATTTTTCACCCACGAATATGTGAGTGGGACTTCATAGAAATATAACTTTTGTGAGTGTAAAACAGCATAGGAAGGATGGGAACATAAGGCAAGCACAATTAGGCAGATGTTATGAGCTGGGTTCTTCTGAACCTTGTTTCTGCTGTTCTTTGACAGCCCATCAGTTAGTTTGGATAGTACAGTCTGGGCACAATTAAATATTTGATACAGTCTGTCTTGCATCTGTGTAAGGTGACTGCTTTCTCAAATCTGTGCCCCAGCCTTCTATTACAACATTGCAAACACTGTAATTCTCACAATATGGACAATCTGGGAGAAATTAGCAAGCACAGCTACCTGCTTCTGCATTACATGCCACAGATGCCGCTATCAGAGAAGCCACCAGAGATGTCTCATTTACATGTGAATTAGTAAATACAAAATGGCTCTGTACTTTTACTGTAAAGATGATTTTCCCATGGCAGCTGCATTGTCAGGATTGGCATGTTTTTCACAGTCAATTCACAGCATGTATATGATGTGCAGCTGGACAGAAGAGATATTTGTCAGTAAATGTTAGCTATTCTGAATATGAATTAAAAAGTGCTACTATCACTTTCCACAAAGAGATTTATATCACTGTTGACTGGTGTTTTCCTCCCTGTGGGTGATTCAGAAGATCTCTGATATACTTTTTTTTTGTCTGGTATTTCCTGAATTGGCTGTATCCCATAGCAAGTGGCTGAAGTAATACAGTTATTCAGTCTCTTTTATACTGTTGGTGTGCTACTCTATTGCTGCTTCATTCTTGTACTTTTCCTGTCTCTTTTCCTATTGATTTATCTCCTCTCAGCTCTTTCTCTGATTCCCCTTCACAGCTTCAGTCTTCTCTCTTCTTCCCTTCCCCCAGGCAGTTTTTATTTTCGTTGGTCCCTTCTCCCAGCCTTTTTAATGTTTAATGACTTTACTCTGCAAATTCATTTGTTTTAACCAAGGCATACTCCCTGTCTATTAATTTCACTAAGTCCATTCATTCTTAATTATGTTTTTCTACATCATTCACCTGCTATTCTTCCTTTCCTTAGCATTGGTTTACCCATGTCTTATCCTACAAATGAATTAATAATAGGACCCTTGCTCCCTATTCTATAGTACTTAATCTTTTGTTTCTCTTGATGGTTTGTAAAGAGTAGAGCAGTGGAGAGGTGAAATCCAAGTGTGGCCACAGAAATCTGTATCCATTCATATTATGAAGTAGAGGGTGTGCGAATAGAGAGAGAGAGTTATAAATAAATTGTCTGAGTTGTATCAGGAAAATATTTCTTCATTCATAAATTTAAAAACAAGTCCTATTTTCAGAATCGGGAAGAACTAGAGGTGGAATTTCTACTGGAGAACATGTAAGTAAATTTCTACTGGAGAACATGTAAGTAAAACCTAAATGTTTTAGAATTTGTCATCATAAAATGCATTTTAGAGAGAGTGGCAATACAGCACTGGGGAAGTGGCTCCATGTACCTGTGTTCAGACACTGATCTCAGCACTGTTGCTCTTCTGTCCTAAATTTGAGTGACAGTCTCACTTGCTATTTATAGCTGAGAATGGATGTTTATTTTGTGATTCAGCCTCATCAGCAGAGATAAGAAGGAAGGAGCATCCTTGGGAAGGTATGGGATGTGATCTGGCAGAGGCTGCAGGATAGAGGGGAAGGATACAACTGCTGATGGTACTTGCCAGCTAGAAAAACTGAGCTCAGAGGACAATGTGCTTTTGAAAGTTTATTGCTTAAATGCACACTTTTAAATAAACATTTTTGGTTTTGCTTTTCAGACCAGGTGTATCTGAGAAGATCATTACTAATGGTGTATTGGTGGTAATTTTTTTTTTTTTTATGCTTATCTTATGGTGGGGCAGAACTGAAGGATGTGATTGGAAGATGGGGAGAAAAATTTCAGGTGTTAGCTGTTGGGGACTGAATGGTATTTAAGTGTAATGACAGATCCTCAGTGTTTTTGGCTTCGTTAACCACAGTACTGCTTGCAAGATTTATACAAGGTACTCAATTTCTATAAATTCTTCACATCCACAGACCATCATGGCCAAGCACTGTGTTTCTACAGGACCCCTAGAACCTCATGAGAATCCTGAACTGTTTCTGTGACCGGTGGTTTTATTGCTTCTCTCTTCCAGTCTCGTGAAGTTTCCTGTTTGGAAGTACATGTGAATGAAACAAAAAGGAAGAGTTCTTACAAAAGTGAGGATTTGTTTGTTGCTGCTTTTTATGCTATGGGAAACACAGCTGAATCTAGATAAATATTTGGTTTGATTTAGTCTCTTTGCATCAGGGCTACTTGGGTATTTCCTGAATGACCTCCTTGCTAATAGTGAGAATCCTCAGAAGACATGACTCTGTGGCTTAAGAGAAACTGTGGAAGTGGCTGGGAGACTTGGAAACAGCATTGCACTGTGATGGAACTGAAATACCTTTACCTCTGTTTTCTGCTGAAAACAGAAAGTTAAAGAAGGGAGACAAAACTCTCAGGAGGAGAAAGACTTCAGTGAAAGCTCAGGGGATGTGAATGCTGCTAGAGGCATCCACAAGTGTAACACACGCTCTCTGTCACTTGGCAGGGTGTCACAAATGGTTTAGGTCACTTAATCACTGGCAAAGGTATCAGCAAGTGTAAGTTTAATATAAATTTGTAAAGTGTGACAAAGTTTGATGGCAAGGTTCACTCTATTACTACATGCATGAAACACGCAAAGAAAAATCAGATTAGAATAAATCTAGAATTACTTATCTAGAGACCAGGGATGCAAAAGGATAAAGAGGGAAAAGGAAAGGGTGCCAGGAGTGAAGAGCCTCACATTGAGCTGTGAGTTTCAGAGTGGGCCCTCTTGCCAAACAGCCTCAGACTTGATTGTTTGTCTAAAGGATTCAGCAGTACTTAATCATCCCGTGATTTAGTATTTACAAAGCAATTTAATGGTATTTACAATAAACAGAACAATAAATAACTTAATTATGAATGTAGGATGGTAGCATTCATACTACACCTGCTATGGGGTATTCAAATCAATTCACACACATTTTTACACAAAGAATTATGTACCAAGTGCCTGCTAAAAATTCCCCTCAAGGTTGGTGAAATACTCAGAACAGATGCCTTTGCATTTCTGAGTGGATGAAAGGTTGGGCCTTGAGGAGTCAGGGATGTCAACCTTGACTCTGTCATCGGCTTTCGGGATCAGTTCTCTGAGTATTGCAAACTTGAGGTCTGGTCAGTTCTGAGCCCCTGCAGTCCAGGGGAGCTCCAAGTGCCAGGTGCTGCACACTGGTCACAGGGGAAGGAAAACACTGTGGTCCAAATTAAGTTTAGTTAAGCCTGCAGCACTAAGGCTGAAATGTCACTTGGGGCACTTTTATTTGCTAATTTTAGGACTAGGCACAGTTAACATCTCCCCGTGGTTTGCTTCTTGTTCTTAGGGAGAGATTTCACCTTCACCATGAAAGGATCCTATGAAGAAAGCCAGGATATTTCCATAGGTCCTGGCTCCAGACTGGGAAGCAGTGAAACCACCAGGTTCCACTACATCAAGCACAGCCAACCCAGACTGCTCATGACTCTGCCAAAGGAGCGTTTTCTCTGCTGGGTATGCTTTGCTTATGGTTGGTGATAACACCTAACCTAAATTTTGGGAGAAGAATCATGAGTTAACCCTTATCTGGTTATTTTTGTGTCTAGGGTCTAGAAATAATATTCTTATGACATTTTTTCCCCTCTTTAAATCAGCCTGGCTCAGGTAGGAGGGAAATGGATCTAAGTAGTCCCCTGGCTGTGGCTCTCCATTCTCTGGACTTGGGAAAGAAAGTGACAGTGATGAGGGTGAGTATCCTTTGACAATATTTGGAAGCTGTAAGGTAAACTGTATATATGTGATATCTGGTAATGTAATAATATTGTTACTGAAAATGCATTAGCAAGTTATTTGTATGCTTAGCTCTGCATACACTTAAAAATATAACTATGATTTGGGGGGGGAAATAGGATATTCAGAATTTCTGGCTGCTTTAAAAGTAGTTTAAAGGATTATGTGCTGAATGCCTGGGAGGAGGCCAAAAATTTATCATTAGGCTATGTATGTGAATAATTGCTAATACTGTAAAACCTACTTCTTCAAAATTTCAATTCTATTTAAAATTTATGGTGCTTTCCTTATTGATTTTCAGGGGGAATCTTATGAGGTGTCTGTGAATGAGGAAAATAGGTAAATCTTTTATTGCTTTGGAATGATTACTTAGGCCATCTCCTCTCCTTTCAGAATATCATTGTTAGATGAAAGGATGCTACATCTTAAAGTAGATGTAATTGTTAGCTAATTTCAAAACAGGAAATAAAGACTGAAATATGGGGAATGGTTAATAAAATGCTTTCAAGTTTTAAAAACTTTTAAATTGGCTGGTAAGAATTTAGGATAGGATAGGTGGTAGCTAGTTATGGGGTATAAACCATCACAATGTTTTTTCCTAATGTTGATGCTTTGTAATTTTGATATCTAAACATCCCTCTGTCTTGCAATGTTTATCCATAATATGTGCATATTTATGTGTACCAGATTTCTGATGTGTCTAACACCTTTATGCATTTACAAGACCTCTACAGGTAATTTTTCAATGAAACACATGGACAGTAATTTATTTATGGACTAGCTTGCTGAGATTTTCTGAAGGGCAACATTACCCCCTGTTGATAAATTAGCTCCATTGCAAGCCATAGTTTCAGGTGAATGATGCATCAGAGGGTTTTATTGAATAATGTTCAGAGAAGAGACAGAGCAGTTTATTTTTTTTTTCTCTGAAAAAAAAATCTGAAACTGGAACCCCATGAAGATACAGGCTATAGAATGAATCATGTACATGATATTTATGATAATGTACAGAAGGGATAAATTTAAGAGGCATCTTCTGACTCAAATAGAGCACAAATTCTTTGTAGAGATAAGCCTAACTTGGTAATAGGGCTCTTTTAACTAAAGTGGGTTAAGTTTAAATAACTACTTAGGCTCCCTTTGTGCTTCAGAAAACACATGCACAGCAGGAGAATGTGAAGAGGTATCCAAATACCAGAGTACAATGAAATAACTTGATTTATTTGACTTCCTTATGATTGTGTGAAATTGTTCAGCGTGTAATTCTGGTCTAAAATCTCCACAGGAAGGCACAAATATAGAACATGGGATATCCATATACCTGCTTTCATTTACATAGGGGGGGCTTTCATGTTTGTGGAAGTATAATTTCTTTTAACTGGTTTATTGTTGTTGGTTTTGCTGGGTGTCTCCTGCTGAAATGGCTGCAGGTGTTCCCTTGTGCTGTTCCTGTGTTCCAGTTGCAAGGATTTAGATTTGCGGCTGGGCTTTGGTCTGTGTGCAGAGGAGCAGGACTTCATCCGTAAAAGGAAGAAGGTGGTTGCTGCTGCTCTGAAAAATGTTCTTCATCTAGATGAAGACCTGCAGGAGGATGAGGTATGTGGGACAGCATCTTGGGAACTTCAAGTAGTAGTGGCCCACTTTGAGAGAAGTGGATGTGACGTGCTTGCAGGACTACCCATACAGTTCTTCCACTATAGAAATAGTATAGGCCAGATTGTCACTTGCACCTAAGCCCCTATCCAAATTTTTGGCACAGAGGATGAAAGAGGAACTGTCAGGAGGCCAGTTATAGCACCTTTATTCTCTGCCAACCTCTGTCCTGCCCTCAGGGGCATCCAAGGGCTGTATTTGCTGACGTGCTGGTGTGTATAACCAAGCCTGGTGAAATTTGATTGCTTAAATGAGACTATTTCTCCTCTCTGCTCTGCCACACAAGGTTCACAGGGAAAGCTGCAACTCTCCCATAGCACACTGGCACTGTAGCATCTCTCTTTGTGTGTTTTTTGCTGTTACCTCTTGCTTGCTTCTCTCCTGGGGATCCCTGAACTCAGAGGTATCTGCTCTGTTACTGGAAGACAATGATCTGTTATGGGGCTGTGGTGCCTGGGGCAAGTCTGGGGCAATGTGCCCGTGGGGTATGTCCTCCACTGCTCTGCTCAGCTCCCAGCACACCCAGCCCTTTATGATGTGTGCAGGACAGCATTTTTCGACCAAGTCAAAGTGCTCATGAACTTAAGTAACAGGTAGAGTAGGACTTGTTATTATTAACTGAGAATAAAAAGGATTTTATAAAAAACCCCAAACCCACAAGTAGATGATAAAATACAGTGAAGACAGGATTAAATGTAATGGCATCACATATTCCTAAAACTGAATGTCTGTTGTATCAGTTTTTACGATACAGAAAAGGGGGAAAGGGTAACAGAATTGATGCATTCCTGAAACAAGTAAAACCAAATTACATATAGCACTGATAGCAGGGAAGGTAGAGGTAATCTGAGTTGGAAAGAGGGTGTTAAAATAAACACCCAGCTATAAAGCTGGGCACTATCTGCCTGGAGAATAGCAAATGTTGTATACACACTTAGAGGAAGAAAAAAATTATGCAGGCAGGTTTTGTTCTGCTCTTCTGACCTTAGCTCAACTCAGAGCTTCAAAAGGTGTTTCGAGGGAAAGAGCTAAGGAAAAATCATATACATTGAGAAAATCTAAAAATATGTTTCCCCACACGAAAACTGTATTTACTTACAGCTCCAAAGCATCACTGATCAGGAAAATGCTTTCAGCATACGCTAAATTCCACCAAAGTCTACACAGCTCAAACACACACTTAGGCACTGCCCTGAAGAGGGTGAATTAATCAAAACCTACCTGAACCAGGTGTTGCTGTTACTTTTTTCTGCATGGCCAGCATTCCTGTATTTCCTTTGGTGATGAGTGACTCCGTGCCTCTCTCTGTGTGTTGAGCAGGTGCCCGTGGTGGCAGTGGTGACTGCCGCAGGGGGAGTGCGCTCCATGACAGCAATGTTTGGCAGCCTGCTGGCTCTGCAGGAGCTGGGTGTTTTGGACTGTGTGTCATACATCAGTGGTTTATCTGCCACAACCTGGTAAGGAGAGCTGGGCTTGTACTTACATTGGTATTAGCGAAGTGATAACCTGGCAAACAATTTTGCCTTACTGGTGAATTTACTCAGCTTGATGTAGGCGCTTGGCTTCCTTTTGGGCTTGTTTCATGGGACCACTCAGTGCTGTCCTCCTACAAGAAACAAATCTAATGAGAATGACAATATTTCTGTAACTGCACTGAAGTGTTTACAGAAACCAAAAGAAAAGCACACAAGCTGGGATGGTTTGCCTGTAACTTGTGATCTTGTTGCATGCAACACTCCAAAAGTCCTTTTGTTGTATTTGTCTGGCTCAACTCTTATATGTTTCCAAAAAGCAGACTTTTAAAGAACACCCCTGAGAAATAGAGTGTCATTCATGCACTCAGTGGTGACTGCCTTGCACAAACTAGGAGGGGTTGAGGGGATTTAAAACATTTTACCTCTGAAGGGCTGCTCTAAAAGTATGTGAGACAGAATTAGAACAAGTGGGGTGGGGAATGAGAGGGGATGACAGGGATTTGCTTGAGCCCTGGGTCCTGGCAGCTGAAGCCTGCCCTTATGTGTGCCAGGAGCCTGAGGTGCCCACCTGCTGCACACCCAAGGAGGGCTCTCGCACTTGCCAGGGCAATAGTTGCTGCTAAACTCCAGCTTAGCATTTCACACAGGGTCTGACCCATCTGAGGGAACTGGCCTCAGACAGAAGAGGTGGCTTGGACAACCAAAGGATAATTCTAGCAAAAGCTTGAGTTAAGTTATCAGTGTTGCTTTGTTACCCTTTTGATTCTGAAATACAAACATGCTAGGATGGTTTTAAATGTATTTGTGCAGGGGGAAAAAAATCATTACACAGTCTAAATTCTGCCTTACTTTGACACGCTCTTCCAAGTAAAAGTTGGAGGGCAAGAATCTCGTGTAGCCTCAAAACACTTGTGTGTTATAGGCTAATGAATTGTCACGTGCCCTGTGATGAACCACAGTACCTTTCTTTTATCCAGGACCATGTCAAAGTTATATGAAGATGCAAATTGGTCACAAAAGGATCTCAGAGGGCCAGTTGGTGATATCAGGGAACATGTGACCAAGAGCAAGCTGCACTGCTTCTCTTTGGATCACATGAAATACTATGAAAATGAGCTTTGTGAGAGAAAGCAAGAGGGGCACAAGGTGTCCTTTACAGATTTATGGGGACTCTTCATTGATTGTATGCTACATCATCAGGTATTTTATATTCTTTCTCTCCCTCTTGTTTCACAGGATTTCTTACTTCCCATGTCGAAGGTTGTGGGTTCAGTTAGAGAAAAGGCTCTGAAAACACCTGAAGGATTTATTTGGCTTTTTAGAATAAAAGTAACAAAGTAACCCTAAAGTGTGAGCATCTAGAAGAGATGTCTGAGCATGAAAAAATGCAAGATGTTTAGGAAACTGATTTTCCATCTTTAAGTTTGGGTTTTGGGTCAGGTGATCATTGTAGTATCACAGAGAGGAGAGAAGCCTCTCACAGAGCCAAGTTCAGACATAGCAATGTGCACCCATAAGCTGTAGTGAATGGTTCCAGGCTGACTAAATATCTTTCTTTCCTTAAAGCAAGTCATATCCCAGTGACTGTACAGACATGTTTCTTGCATTGTTGTCCTGTCCCTCTTGCCAAAACTCCCATAAGCACAATGCCTTGGTGAAAGCTCATGGCAGATAACACATGAACACACTTGTGTGGCCAAACAGCTAAAGTACACAGAGCAAAACCTGCTGAGGTTTAGCAGATATTTCATTGATAGCTCATGCTTAGATACTGTAGTAAGTCTATGCATCATGTTCATCTTTTACAATGAATTTTTCTCTTTGTAAACAGCAAAGCACTCACAAACTCTCGGATCAACAGCTAGCAGTCAATCAGGGGCAGAATCCACTCCCCATATACCTGTCCCTCAATGTCAAGGATGACTTTAGCACTTTGGATTTTAAAGGTATAGATTGTCATGCACCCCCTTATAACTCTGAAGAGTTTCCTTTTAAGGCTGATTGAATAACAAAACTTTTTCCTGTAAGTCCAAGCGAATAAATCTTTCAAATAATTTCTTTTCCCCTGTCTTCATATCTGGTTTCTGATTTGGATGAAAAACATGCATCCTAATACTATGGAAGGGAGATAGCTGTGCTGTAGACACTGCTCAGTGGGGGCATGGAGATGCTTTTTGCTGGCAGCCTTGAGAACCACTCCTGCTGCTCTTTTCTCTCATCCCCACCTACCCCCAGAGCCCCTTTCAGCTGCTGGTCTTTGGCTGAGGCAGCACTAGTCCAAGAGAGCCTTGAAGAGCGGGGAGGAGGGCAAGGCAGGCAGGGAGGAGAATGGAGAAGGTGAGGAGGGGTGAGAGCAGGAGTCAGCTCCCAGCAGCCAGAGAAGGATCTGAGGAGAGGCACTGCTCTGATCAGGGATTCTGATCACTGTTCCCATAGCGTTTCCAGCACAAATGAAGCAGGAGGTTCTGCAACTGAACCTGGTCACCTGCTCCTAGGCACAGCTGCAGTCCCAGTGCACCCAGCCAAGGTTCCCCTGTGGGGAGGGTGTTTGGTCAGAGTTTTTTATTCTCAAGGCAGTGATTTGTCAGAGTCTCTAGAATGCATAGTAGCTGGTGTCATTGCTGACTCAGAGGAGCTCAAAATGCCACACTGTGTGCAGAGCCTTAGCAATTAGTGGACTTTCAGCCCCAGGTCTTGCTTCTTAGTGCAGAAATAGACCTGAATACCAAGCTGAATGGATTTTGGCAGAGGAGATGAACTTAGATTTTGCATTTGTGTATGTTGGAGGGCACTTGTTTGTTTCAGAACATGGTGGCTTGAACTGTCACCACCATCATGAAGCTATAGGCCTTGTTCTTCCAGCTTCTGATTCTCTAAGCTGTTTTTCACATGTGTTCATGCTGCAATAAATCCAGTTTGGTGCCTTATTTGCAGAGTGGGTGGAGTTCACACCTTACGAGGTGGGTCTCCTGAAATATGGGGCCTTTGTTCGTTCTGAGGATTTTGGTAGTGAGTTCTTCATGGGTCGCCGGATGAAGAAGATCCCAGAATCCCACATCTGCTTCTTGGAAGGTAATTTACTGTCTCAAGAAAACATCACCTTAAGAGCTGACTACACAGAGGTGGTCGGCAAGTTGCAGTATTAGTACACCAAAGAATGTATGTCATGCAATTTCAAACTCAAATGAACCAGCCAAAAGTGACAAAAGAGGAAACCAATTTTTGAGACAAATGTGATTAATTTGCTGAATGTATTGCAGAATGACCTAAAAAGAACACATGCATGCACACACACAAACTGATCATCTGAAGTATTTAAACTCACAGCCTGACTTTTATAGACAGCCAAGTTTCGAAAACAGCCTGGTCGTAAGCCAGACATTGTGTGGAATGGCGTGGCATTTGATATTTATAGGAAAATTCACAGTATTTCATAATTAGATTCAGGTGTGTTGCCATAGCTGTGCTCTAAATATTCAAACTAATATTAAGTATGGTGCCTTCTTTTTTTTTTTTTTTTTTTTTTCCCCCCCTCACTTTCAAGGCACATGGAGCAATATATTTTCCCAGAGTTTTATGGATGCTCTCTACCTCTCGGGTCATTCAGAACACTTCTGGCACAGATGGACTCGAGACACTGAGCATGACATTGGTAAGTTCTTCAAATTACTTTTCTCTTACATCTGCATTTTCTTCACACCTCTCTGAAATGTGAAACCTGACATTTGGTAAAGGGTTTGTTTTTGTGTCCTATTTCTGGCTTATGGGACAGCAAGCTCTTGAGAATGAAGGAAAAGCTGGAGACCAACAGTTGTGCTGTAAAACAGGAAAAACCATTGTGGTGCTCACTGTGCAACATCCCTGGGGAGCTTTGTTAGTCACGAGAGGGTTCCCAAAGCCCTTTGGGGAGGGAGAGGCCAGACAGGGACGAACAAGGTGATGGTGTGGCACTGAAACCCACTGCCCAGAACACTGTGCATGTCCACGTGTGCACCCAGTCACAGATGGGGCTGGTGGCTTGGTTGTTATTGTTATCAGAGAAACATCCTGACCAAATGCAGACACACATCCTCTTCTTGTTCTTCCTGCAGAGAACCATCCTGCTCTGCCCAAGAAGCCTCATGAACAGACAACCTCCTTATCCATTCCCAAAGGTTACCTTTCCAAAACTCTTCGGGAAATGATGACTGGGCGGCCAGTGGTTTCAACCTACCACAATTTCCTCAAGGGCTTGCAGCTACATAACAAATATTTGGAGAATGAGAGCTTTTGCAGGTGGAAAGGTAATTGGAAATTGCATTAGTTATATCTTTGAAGGAGATTTGAGGGCTGATACTTGTTGACGACAAATATTTGATAAGTTTTATCATAGAGGTAAATTTTGATTAATATTGTTTGATTAACATTTTTGTGGAATGGGTTTTGCCAAGCCCTAGATGATTTACTCCTCGTCTTGTTCCTGTCTTGGAGGAAGCACAGCAGGTTTGCTTGAATTCGCATCTTCCTAGGAAACGCCATCAAAGAGTGACTTGAAGCTTCAAAGGAGGTTAAATAGCCACAAATTGACACATATTGAGAAAGAAGAGTAATTTATCACTTTGGGAAGCTGAGTCACAGAACTGCTCCATCTTGCTGATCTCAGAGTTGAGCTATTTATTTAGTAAATAAATACTAAAATTGTGTCAAAGACAAATACTTAACTGTGGCCTTTGTGTCAAAGATCAATATACATCAATTGTATTTCCCTTTCCCTCTTTTATGCTAATTTGGAAAAAGAGAGACTTGACCCTGAAGTAAATAATAATAATAATGAAAGTTTTGGCCTTTCAGACACAGTGCTGGATTCTTCTCCCAACCAGCTGAATGAAATGAGTGACTACCTCAAGCTGATAGATACAGCTTTCTTCATCAACACCAGCTGCCCACCCATTCTGAGGCCAGAGAGAAAAGTGGATGTCATTATCCACTTAAATTACAGCGGAGGATCACAGACTCTGGTGATGTTTTGAAGCAGCTGAATTACCACCACAGCTTTCTCTTTCTCTCTTTTTTTTTTCCTTCCAAAAAATGGTCTGGTTTTTATTAAATTAAGTGATCATATCAATGGTACTATTCACAACTGTGACCATAATGTCACTGCCTTTATCAAAGTTGTTTTCAGTGTCTTGCTGGGATAGGCATATGAACAAGTTCCTCATTAGTTAAATAACTTTTACAATGTAATTAATGCACACTACATAATTTTGATTTTTTTTTTAATGAAAAGTTTTGCTTTTATGTTTGACTCTTGGTGCGTGAGTTTTAGTCAGGATTTTTTTTTTTTTTTTTGCATTTGAAGAAACCTTGAGGGTTTCTTCAAATAATATGATTGAAATTAATGCAATTTATTTGTAAGATGACATGAAGACATAAACAGTTAGATGCATTGAATGCAAATATATAAGAACCTGTGATCTGAGAAGCCACATGTAATCTAAGTTTCCCCTATCCAAATCCTCTACTGTGCTCACTAAATCACAAAAATTGACCTGAAAGTCATATGAATGTCAGTAAATAGTTTTGTTACCTAAGTTAGATTAAAATTAAGATGGTATGTTTGTTCCAGTGCATAGTTAGCATTATTTATAAACGTATGACTCAATCTCAGATTGTCTATTGCACCAAAATATTATGGGGTTTGGTGGTCTTACTTCAAGCTCTCTTTGTGTTCAATCTCTCCTCTCTATTGAGACAGCCACTGGACCTATTCTCAGAGTACTGTTTGGAGCATGGGATCCCATTCCCCAGCACAGAGCTGAGCCAGGAAGACCGGGAGCACCTGAAGGAGTGCTATGTGTTTGAGGACAGCTTAGAGGCACCGGTCTTGGCCTACTTTCCATTGGTGTGTGATACCTTCCGAAAATACAAGGCACCGAGTAAGTTGACAGCAGTAATCATTTTCTGAGATTGTCTCATCCCGTTGATTCATTGAACTTGTTCCTCTTCCAAAACAAGACACTGGCAAGCTTCTGAGTTGGCTGAGTTAGTATAGTCTCAGTCCAGATGTGATGCATAGAGTATTGGCCAGCTAATCAGGCATTGGAATGAAGAGGTTTAAAAATAAGAGCATGAGAAGCTATACCTTGAGGGAAACCCCCTCTGGCACTTGAAACAGGTCATGTAACTTTGATAAGACAGAAGAGGACACAGCTGGTAAGTTATATCCACTGGTAGCTTACGCTGTCACCTAACAGTCTCATGAAGAGATACAATGTTTACTTGGTTAACAAAGCTAGAATTCTCCTATTACTTTTTTTGCATGAAAAAAAAAAAATTGAGAATGGAAAGTGCTGAAAATATGTAATGAAGCAAAGGCTTTGCCCGGGTAACAAGCTGCTTTGATACCTATAATTTTTGAAAAGTTGCCAGATTGTTTCCTTTATTTCAGCAATAGAAGAAATGCTTGTTTCACTAGAAAAAAAACCTACTTGGAAAATTCAGTTTCAGTTTACAAATACTTTTACATGCATCAACTCAAATTTTTTTTTTTATTTCTAATTTTCTATGATCCAGGAAACTTTTCTTAAAAAATGAAGAAGAATCCATGAACCAGCTTATTTGAAAAACACCTTGTGCCATTCATTATCTTACTTGTTCTGCTGCATATGCTTAAAATCTCAGCCACCTGAGAGGGAAGATTCCCAATCCAGGAGCCCTCTGGTGTAATTTTCTACCAGCTGGTAGATAAAGAACTGTCATCTCAGAACTCAGCTGAAAATTAAACATACAAAATTCCATATCTTAAAAAAATTAAATATTCTGATGTAAAACCTTAATTTAGAGAGGGAAACAATTTACATGGAAAAGTTTTTCTGCTGGCCAGGTCAAGCAGTGAGCTAGTGGGTTTTGTTGTCTGTTACTGTGTATTTTGCCCTGCCTGGTAGCAGTTTTCCAGCTCAGTACCTTTGCTGTGCTTGGTTCTGGTTGCAGGTGTGGAGCGCAGTCCCGCAGAGATGGAGCAGGGAAGAGTGGACGTGTCCAACTGTGCTGCTCCCTATGGCACCGGCCTGCTTACGTACACCGAAGAGAATTTCAACAAGCTGCTGAACCTGTGCAGCTACAACATCCTGAATAACAAACACCTAATTCTCCAGGCTCTGCGAACTGCAGTGCAACGAAAGAAGCAACTTAAAAACTATTCATCACCTAATTCAAGTAAACACTCTTGAAGTGTATTTAAAAAAAAAAAAAACAAAACATCCGAAGGAGATACACAAATGCTTGAGTACTGGACTAATAAATATTTACCTGCGGCAAGCTCACAATGTTTGTGATGGCAACAGAATTTGTGGTACAAACTCCTTTGACTTCTGCAACAGTGAGATGGTTGGTGTGTAGCTGCTGCTACAGTTTTATCCCCATCCAAATAACAGACAGGGTAGTGTTCATGAGATTCCTATATTTGTCTTAGAGAAATGGTTTCTTAAGAAATTATATTTAACTGGTCTTAGATCTTATTTTCTGATTGTTGTATGCAAAAATATACATGCAGAGTAATAGCTACTGTTGAAATACTAAGTAGCCATGCATAATCTTATTGAAAATAAGAAGTTTGTAGTTGAAGTAATTGAAGTTTGGGGGTTTTATTAACTTCTATGGACTCAGCTCAGCTAGTGAGATGTTCTGGGAAAAAGTTACTCTTCCTTTTGATACCGAGAAATCAAATATTGAGTGAACAATGAGCATTGTGAATAACCTTTGAGGAAAGATGAAAGAAAAGCTGTGACTTAAACTGTGGAAAATGAAAAATGGAAGGAAACTGCTTTCAAGGGTGCAAGTGATTGGAATCATAACTTAGGAGATAACATTATATGTTGTTACCTCAAAGACAGTCCTTTTCTGTGCATCAGTTCATTTATCAGGAGATAACACCAGCAGTGTCTGTCAAGTTTTGCTGCAATATGAATCAAACCAGTAAGTCTCCCTTCATAAGAGGAAACTGTTGGCAGTAACCTTCGTGTCTCTTTTTCATAGATCTAAAGTAGTCAAGTCCAACAACTTTCCTTTTCCTCAGTTACTGATAGATCTTTCTCTTTCATTAGCTTTCTTATGCAGAAAGCCACTTTTTCACCTTCTTTCCTTGCCCTTGGTTAGAATAATTTGATGTTATGTGTCACTAGTAAGACTGCAATAGTTTTCTGTGAGTAAAGAAGAAATGTCACTCTGACAGCTCAGTTATGCTAATGAATTTATTTTTAAACAATAATGAAATGGAGGTTTAAAAAATGTGATTCTTTTCTTTTGCAAAGTATCTCTTCCGTATTTTTAAGATTTTCAAGTTTCATTACTAGAGCTCCAGGAAGAATGAACAGAAGCAGTTCAGTGTGTGCCTGGTGTAATCCACCCACTGGTTTTGGGTGGTTGCAACACTTGGCGCTGGGCCTTCAGCTTTACTCACCCAAGGAGTGGTGATGATGTGTGCTTTTGGCAGCTGATCTGGAAAATTAGGATGGCTTAGAATGAGATGAGGAAAGGGAGTCTGTTTTCAGAAGTCTGGGCCTATTTAGCAAGCCACTAAAAAATCTTAGGTTGCCTAAATGGTGTAACTTAGCAGCTCAGTATTTTGACTTAAGTCAGACAGATGCTGGTGCCTGTGTTGGGATGTGGTTCCAAGCATCTAACACTGCATGAGACTAATGTTTTAGCTGGGGAAGCCAAGCTTAATGGTCTTGCCGTGATGGCTGGTGAGTTTTCTCCAAAATGGACTGATTTTGTTTCTTGTTTGGGGAAGGAAAGGCTTCTTCTGTTAAAGACCATTGATGATGTTCACATTACAGAGATACTTCAGAATCTTGCCTGTGATGTGACGGTGAAAGGCAGCATGAAAGAACAGGGGAAGAGATATTTGTTTGAGGGGCTTGCCAGCTATTAATAAAAAAATAACAAAGGAGACACATTCATTATTACTGCTGGCATTTTTTAAGGATGGATCTGAGGCTTAGGCTCTGTGACAGATCAGCTGGATTTTTCAAAATGATTCAGCATTGATGCAATTGTTCTTTTTAAAATCCAGGTAGGTCAGCAGCAATTTTTTTTTTTTTTTGGTAAACACCTGTTTGTGACTGGTCACACAAGCTCTGCTGAATGTAATGTCATGATCCTGGAAACAATTAGCTGTGAATCTTTGCAGTCTCTATTAGGGCTCAGACATCTCTTAGGCTGACTGCTGATGAAGTTACCTCCTTAATTAGCTGGTAATATGAGGTGGCTTCTTGATATTCTGAGAATTGGTTCACATTGAAATTGGCTCTAGATTTCCCTGTAAAGGTCCTGGGCTATGTGTCTTGCCTAATTATTGGGTAATTAGCTGATACAGGCTGGTGCTGGTATTCCTCACACCTGTGGTCTGTTGGGGTTAGGGCAGTAAAATAGCTGCTTGAAGAGTGCCTGAAGTGTTGAATGAACCTGGAAAGGTCAGGCAACCTCCGAGTGCTCCTGCAAAGGTAAAGAGAGGTGCTGTTGGGTGCTCAGATCTACAGAGTACAGGGAGAGACAGAGATAAAGGTTTTGAGATGAAGATTGCGTTTGAAATTCTGTTGCAACAAATCTGAAGGCAGGGTTGCATATATTAACAGATGGGCGAACACTTCAGTGATGATTTTTGAATGGGTAAAGCAGCCCAATTACTTCATGTGAGTGAGTAGGAGGAGCGAGATTTTATCTCTCCAAAACATATCAAGGGCATGTGGAATTGTTTTAATGCAGTTTCTCAATAGTCTTTTGAAAGTACTAGCCCTCCTTCATATATGTCATAATCAGAATAGTGTCTCAAGAAAAAAATGTAATCCCCCACCCCTCCACCTATCATGATCTCTCTCTCCAATGACTGACAGAATATTGTAGAGTTTTAAAGAACAGGTGTTTTGAAGGTGTGGTGCATAGAAACATGAAAATAAAATGCCAACATATTAATCATACTAATGTGAGTGTTATGTACATATATATATATGGGGGGGATATTTTGTTTGGTTTTGGGTTTCGGTGTTCCTGTTGGGTTTTTTTATACCAAAGAGCTCCTTAAAATTAGTGTCACGCCAAAAATTACCAAGTCAAAGTTAAGTCTTTCAGAGTCTGAAATCTGACACCTTGGGATAGGAAAGTGGCACTTGTCATCCATGGTACACCTTGTCTGTGGAGATGATTGAGTTCAAGTCCTGTGTGTAACTAGAGTTGGACTTGAGCTGCTTGCTCTTCTTTGACTAATAGGATGAGGTCTTCGTAGATTTTGTAGCTTGTGGAAGCATTATACAAAAAGAAGAAAAACAAAGTGAAAGCCCAGGGAAAATCCCATGTTACAGATCTGACATTACATTTGTTAAATTGCTTAATTTGTTAATACTGAGTAACTATTTTCTCATGTGGCATCTGGCTATCATTTTTTAACACCCCTAGCATATGCTGTGAATATTTACTCTTCTTGTTATGTTCAGGGTGTGTAAATGATGACTGCTCCCCGTGTCATCCCAAGGAGGGTACAAGGATACTCTTCTCTTGCAAGAAGATGAAGTCCCCAATTAGTCATACATTTCTGTAGTCCTGGATTATCAGAAGGTGACAAAGAGGTACATAAGGCAATTGTGGAGGATTGAAAGCAGCTGTTATTCCTCCCTGTCACCTATTGCAGCCAGATATACAATTATCTGAATGTCATGTTGGGGAAACTAGTGTTTGCAGCTGGCCAATTTAGATCAGAATGATGTATTTTCTCCCCCTTGTCTTAATTAATACATAGATGCAAAATCACGTGCATGTGAATGTGCACGTGAAAGTGCATGATAAAAGATGAAAATTACTTCTTCCTTTTTACTCTCCATGTTGCTGTTCAGAGCTTTAAAGAGACTGTTCAGTGTTCTGTCATCAGTTACAGTCTCTCTAATCTTCAAAAATCCAGGTAAGAGTGTAAGTCGACTATATATGATCATCTCTGGCAATTTAAAACCATTAATGTGGAAATGTGATTGCTAAAAGGAGGCAATATATGACTCTTTAGACTTCGGGTAAATTCAGACATGAATTTTCTTAACGCATGCTTTATGGTTGTCTTTGAAATTGTCCTTGAATTGTGGAAGAACTAATGAAAAATGCAAAAACCCCAACATGATACATGACCTTGGGAGTTGTAATATTTTTGAAATTATAATCCTTGGGATACATTTCTACTTCTAAAAGTCCAGCGGGACAAACTACAAATTCATGATTTTTTTATTTTAAGCAGGTGGTGTAGTAGACACCAATGAATATGCCATCAAGTTTTCTCAGTGCTGATAAGGACTTGCTGTCAAAGGTGTTGTGAGCATTCAGTGCTTAGTTCTATCAGGTATTCGCTGCATGAATGAGAAACTGTTGAGGAGGTCATTATTTTTGCCTGCCATAAAGATGCCAGGTCTTTAAAAGATAGTGTATTCCAAAGCCTTCTTGTGAATGTGGACAGGTAATGGTTAAGGGAGAAACTGCCAGCTAAAAATCTGATGGTGGTCATGAGCAGGAGAGGGAGAATTATTTAGGAACATGTTTTGGAAATAGCAATGAAGACATTGTTTTGAGATGAGGAAAACGGTCTGAACATCATGAAACCATTTAATGGGTAAGATGCACTGACGCTAGAATAATTTTATAAATTGTGAAGTGCTGTCTTATGTGTGGATCTTAAAAACAGCGTGGGCAAGAGAATGCAGTGTCAGGGAGTCTTGTACTGGCCGTGAAACAGCTGGGATGTATAAATGTGTATAGGTGCATATGTCTGCTGGGACAGCTTGGGCAAGGTGAGCTGCATATCCTACCCTCTTTCTTTTGATAGAAGAAGTTTTGCAGATATTTTTCATGAAAATGGATTCCTGCTCTAAATTTTAATACTGGGATATTTCCAGGGAACATTCTTTCAGAAGCTGGAAAGAACTAGTTGTGAGAGAGAGGGCAAGTAAGTTATTCTCAGCTGTGACTGCTCCACCTGAATTTGTTCCTAAGGATTTAATGCAGATATAAAGACAGAAGTTAGGGGAGCTATTTTGTCTTTGGGGTAAAGATGCACATGTTCATTGGAAGTGTCTTTTGGTCATTCCTTTAAGGAGCATTTCAGAAGCTGTAGATTCACATTTATGAGCCATTTTCCTTTGATTCTGAGAAGACAGTGTGAAGTGTTCCTATAGAGCAAGCAGCTGGCCATTAATAC